AGGGCGCGCGGCACAGCCCGGGCACCGTGCTCACGCCAAGCCTGGCTGGCAGCTCGGCATTTGCTTCCTCGCCGCCTGGCTCCTCGCCACCAAACGGTGCATCCTGGGACGTGTAGTTTGTGGGGCAGGGGGGAGGACGGTGCCTGCCGCCAGCTCCCCGCTGCGCCAAACGGGCCCCGGAGCACGCCGCCCCCCCCGGCACCGCGGGGACCCCGAGCTGGGCGCTGGCAGCCGAGCGGGGAAGGTGTGGGCGCACCGCCCGCCCCCCAGCACTTCCTGGCGTCCCTGCCGCAGAACCGGGGGGCTCTGCCCCGGTAGGGCTGGGCCACGAGCAGGGCCTGGGGCCCTCCTGCTCTGCCCCAGGGCTGCAGCAAAACCGCCGCGGCCCCGGGCCTCCTGCAGAGCTGGCGCTGCGGTGAGGGAGGCGAGCGCAGGGCGCGGGGTGCACGGGCTCACCGAGGCGAGCGTGGAGCACAGGAAACAGCCGGGTGCCACCGCCTCGGCGCGGGGAGGCAGCGGCAGCACCCGCGGGTGTCAGCCCTCGGGGAGTTCGGCCACCCATGTCCCAGGGCTGGCACAGCCAGGGTGACACCGGGGTTGGCACCGCCGGCAGCGCACGGCACCGCGGGGAGGCCGGTGTGAGGCCCCTCGTGAGGGCCCAGCCGTGGCTTGCGCCGTCCCCGCTGCTCAAAGCCGAGTCCCACGGTGGCACGGAGCGAGGCTGCACCCAGGGGACAGGGCTGAGCCCGTGAGCACGGTGAGCCGGGGGGGGCTGAGCCCCCCGTGCCGCAGCCGAGCCGCGCAGCCGGCTGGATGTCGCCGTGACGCAGCAGCACTTTCACTCTCCTTTGCCACGGAAACCGCCGAGCCGGGCTGGGTCCTTTCACTCTGACTCTGCTCCCACTGCCTCTGTCCACACGCCCTCGCCGCTGCGGCCGCTTCGCCCCCGGACCCTCAGGGACCAGCAAAGCTGCCCCTGACCCCGCAGCCTCGCTCGCCGCTTGCACGCACGTCCTGGCTGGCTTCGGCCCCACCGTCTCCCGCGCTCGTGCCGCTGCCGTCTCCATCTGGCGCTCGGGCTCACACGCGAGAGCCGCGTCCCCACGAGTGCCGGCACAGACAGTCCTCCCCCGAGTCTCACACCCACGCACGCCCGCCGGTCTGTCGCTGCACGCGCGAGCCGGGACCGGCTGCACACTTCCTGCGGCCGCCGGCACCGCCTGCCACGCGCGCACACCCGCCCCGAGGTGTTGGCACCGTCAGGCTGACACACCAGCGCGTGGCACAGGCTCCGGCTGTGCCTGTCACTCCTCCCTGCGCTCACACACACCCTGTGGGCCTTGTCCCTGTGCCACATGTGCACACGCACGTGCACACAGGGTTGTGGCACGTGGGCACGCTCAAAAACGCGGCGTGGTCCCCGCACGTGGAGCGCACGCACGCGTGGCGCGGTCTCCGGCTCAGCCTGTGGGGCACGTACACACGGACACCCACACGCACACGTCACGGGTGGTTTTGGGCTCGTGCACACACACACGCAGTTGTCACACGCCCCGGCTCTTCCTGTCACATGCGCTCACACACACCACGGTGCCCAGCTCCGCCTGCCATGCGCGCGCGCACGCACGCACACTTGTGCCGTGGGCCCTGGTTCCACGTGTCCCTTGCACACGCACGTGCGCGTAGCGCTGTCCCCAGCCCCGCTGTGACAAGGTGGGCAGGAGGGAGGTGGCTGGTGCTGGCCCCGTGCCGAGGCCCTGCACCAGCCTTGGTCCTTGGGGACGGGGACAGCCGGGTGCCATCCCACCGTGTCCTGGTCCCTGGGGCGTCACCGTCGTGTGTCTGCATCCAGAGGGCACCTTGATCCTCCAGGAGCTCCTGGCCCTGAAGGTGTCACAGCTGTGTGTCCTGGTGAAGATGTCACAGCCGTGTGTCCTGGTGCTCGCGGTGCCGTGGCAGCCAGGTGTCCTGGGCCTCAGAGTGTTTTGGCTTTCTGTTGTGGCCCCGAGGGCCTCAGGGCTGTGTGACCTGGTCCTGGGGGTGATGTGGCAGTTTGTCCTTGTCACGAGGGTCACACTGCTCTGTGACCTGTCCACCCGGTGCCATACCCGTGTGTCTGCGTCCCGAGGGAGCCGTGGCGTTATGTCTGGTGTCGGAGGGAGCCATGGGCTCGTGCCCTGAGCCTGTGTTCGTCCCAGCACATCCTGGTCCCAAGGTTGTCACTGCGAAGTGGCTTCCATCCAAGGGATTCGTGGCAGTGTGTTCTGGCCTCACGATGCCACCGCAGTGTCCTAGTCCTGGGTGTCATGGTCATGTCCTCGTCCTGAGGGTCCCCTGGGGGTGTATTCTGGTCCTGAGGGTGCCGTGGCTGCGTGTCCCTGTCCTGCAAGGGTCATGGCTGTGTCATACTCCTGCGGGTGTCACACCCGGGTGCCCTTCTCCTGAGTGTATCGTGACAGCGCGTCCTGGTCCTGAGCCTGTTCAGGTGCTGTGTCCTGATCCTGAGGGTGCCACAGCTGCCTGTCCTGGTGCCAAGGGTGTTGTGTCCCTGTGTCACAGCCCTGTGGGTATCAGTGTCCCTGTGTCCGGGTCCTGAGGGTGCCTGGGCAGCGTATCCTGCTCCTGACGGTGTCACAGACTTTTCTCTTGGTCATGGCCACCTGTCCAGGTCCAGAGGGTGACACTAAAGCGTGTCCTTGTCCTGACTGTGCCATGACATCGTGTCCTTGTCCATGGGGTTGGTGTGGCAGTGTGCCCAGACCTCGGTGGTGTCACATCGGTGTGTCCTCTCCCTGTCAGGGCATCGTACCCAGGTCCTGGTGGTGTCAGATGCTTTCGCCTTTGTCCTCACGGTGTCCTGGCGTTCTGTCCCAGTGCTGAGGGTGCCATGGCCACGTCTCGTGGTCCTGATGGTGTCATGGCAGCGTGTCCTCCTCCTGGAGGTGTCATTGCGGAATGTCCTGCTGCTGGGGGTGCCACAACCTTCTGTCTTGGTGCTGAGGGTACCATGGCACCGTGCCCTGGTCCTGAGGGTGCCGTGGTGCTGGGGCTAATGCCTGCAGGCAGCTCAGCACCGTGCCACCACCACCACCAGTGGAAAGGAAAAGTAAAAGCAAGAAATCCTGTGCGCCAGGTGGAAATTGTTTAATACACAAAGGAATTGGGGTCGTCTGCCTGGCGGTGCCCCCCCAGGATGCTGTGTGAGGATCAGGGGTGGCCTCGGCGCTGTGCCAGCGCTGCTCAGCCCCGGCTAAAGTCCGGGTGCTGCCGGCATCGCCGGGGGCACGGGTCTGAAACACGGCTCCTTGTGAGCTGCTGTGAGGAGAATTAACTCATCCCAGCCGGACACAGAGCTCACAGCCACGTGCCCAGGTCCTGAGGGCTCTCTGCAGCACGTCCCCATCTGGCACGTGCCATGCGGCCAAGGTGACACTACTGAAGGTGCCATGGCTGGATGTCCTGCGTGGTGTCACAGCAGTGAGTCCTGGTGCTGGGGGTGCTGGGGGTGCCGTGGTGCTGTGCCCTTCCCCTCGGGGTGCCCTGGCTGCGTGTCACTGCCCTGAGGCTGTCACCAGATCATGTCCTTATTGATGGTTCCATGGCACCGTGTCATCCTGAGGGTGCCATGGCAGCATGTCCTGTGTGTGTCGTGTTCGTGTGTCCTGGGTCTGGGTGTGTCACATCTCTGGCCCTGTGGGTGCCACCACCTTGTGTCTTGGTCCCAAGCGTGTCCTAGTGCTGAGGGTGCCGTGGCACCGTGTCCTGGTGCTGAGGGTGTCACCGTGTCTTGGCAATGTCCCCTGGCAGCACGTCTGGGTCCTGACAGTGTCGTGGCGTTGGGTTCTGGGCCTGCAAGTGCCACGGCCGTGTGTCCTTGTCCCGGGGGTGTCACAGCACTTAGTCCTGGTCCTGAGTGTGCCATGGCATCGTGTCCTGGTCCTGAGAGGGTCATGGTGCTGTGTCCTTGTCACAAGGGTGCTGGGGACGTGTGTCCTGATCCTCAGGGTGTCATGGCCTAGTCATGGCCCTGAGCGTGTGCTGGCACCTTGTCCTGGTCCTGCGTGTGTCACGGTGGCTTGTGCTGGTCCTGAGGGCATCAGGACGTCGTGTCCTGGTCCTGAGGGTATTGTGGCCTCGTGTCCTGGTCCTAAGGTCCCTGTGCCAGTTTGTCCCAGTGCTGAGGGAGCCATGGCACCATTTGCTGGCCCTGAGCGTGTGGTGGCACTGTATCTTCATCCAGATGTGTCGTGTCTGTGGGTCCAGGTGCTGTGGGATCCACGGAAGTTTTTCCTGGTCCTAAGGGTGTCACGGATGCGTCTCCATGTCCCAAAGGTGTCGTGACAGCATGTCAGGGTGCTGAGGAAGCCGGAGCACCGTGTCCTCCTCCTGAGGATGTCACGGTGCTGTGTCCTGGGCCTGAGGGTGCCATGGCTGTCCTGGGCCTTGTGTCTTGTCCCCAGGTTGCCATGTCAGTGTCTGCTGGTCCTAAGTGTGTCACGGCAGCGTGTCCTGGTCCTGATGCTGCCATGGGAGCTTGTCCTGAGGGTGTTGTAGCAGCATGGCCTAGTCCTGAAGTGTCACAGCAGCATGGCCTGGGCCTGAAGTGTCAGAGCAGCATGGCCTAGTCCTGAGGGTGCCACGTCCCCGTGTCCTGGTCCTGTGGGTGTCACAGCTTTGTGCCTTGGCCTTCACAGTGTCCATCTGTGTGGTGGTCCCGGGGTGGTCCATGGCAGTGTGGCTGCACGTCCTGGCCATCGGGCTGGCTGTGGCAGCTGTTTTAGCCCCATCCCGCTCCTGGGGTGCGCCGTCAGCCCCTGCAGCCTCCCGTGCCCAATTTCCCAGAGCTTGGACTTGGTCTTTTCATCCCCACGAGCACCCCACATTGTGGCAAGGGAGAGGATTTGGGGGACAGGGAGCGATGGGGCCGGCATCCCCAGGGGGAGCCCGGTGCTCGCGTCCCCCGCGCCCGTCACCGATCGTGTCCCTCTCCTTCTCGGCAGGTGGAAAGCAGTGACACCCCCAAAGACATCGCGGCCGTCCCCAAGTGCCCCCCGCCCTGCCCGGAGGCCAGCCCGCCGAGCCGCTGCCCAACGGGGACCTGGAGGCCGACGGAGCCCAGTGGAAGGGCGCCGAGGAGGGGGGCACGAGCCCCAAGGGCGGGCGCCCCGAGGAGGACGAGACGGAGAGCCTGGCGGACGGCGAGACGGGCCGGGCGCTGGAGAACGGCCGCTGCACCCCCAAGGAGGGCCTGGACGCCCCGGCCGATGAGGGTGAGCTGGCCCCTTCCGACCCCCAGAAGAAACGCGGGAGGAGGAAACTCCTGGAGGCCGCAGAGAAAAGTAAGACCTGAGCGTTCAGGGCCGGCCGCCGCGGGGTGAGGGTGCACGGGGGTCCCGCTGTGCACACACGGACCCCACGGACCCTGCCCGGCGTGTCCTGGGGGGGGACAGCGGCCGCCCCCGGCTGGGCAGAGGAGGAGGAGGAGGAGGGGGGGAAGAGAGGAGGAGAGGGAGAGAAAGAAAGAAGAGGAGGAAGAGGAAGGGGGAGGATGAAGAGGAGAAGAGGAGGAAGATGAGGAGGAGGGGGAGGAAGAGAAGAAAGAGGAGAGGGAGGAGAAAGAAGAGGAAGAAGAGGAAGGATGAGGAGGAGGAAGAGGAGGAGGAGGAGGAGGAGGAGGGGAGGAGGGGAGAAGAGGGTGAGGAGGAAGAGGAGAAAGACAAGGAGGAGGAGGAAGAGAAGAAGGAGGAGAAAGAGAGAAGAGGGGAAGGATGAGGAGGAGAAGGAGGAGGAGGAGGAGAAATACGAGGAGGAGGAGGAAGAGAAGGATGAGGGAGAGGAGGAAGGGGAGGAAGAGGAGGAGGAAGAAGAGAGGGAGGAGAAAGAGGAGGAGGAAGAGGAAGGGGGAGGATGAAGAGGAAGAGAAGAGGATGAAGAGGAGGAGGAAGAAAATGAGGAACAGGAAGAGGAGGAGGAGGAGGAGGGGGGGGGAGAGGAGGAGGAACAGAGAGGAAGAGAAGGAGGAGGAAGAAGAGGAAGAGGGGAAGGAGGAGGAGGAAAACAAGAAGAAAGAGGAAGAGTAGGAGGAGAAAGGAGGAGGAGGAAGAGGATGACGAAAAGGAAGAGGAGGAGGAGGAAGAGGAAGGAGGGAGGAGGACGAGCAAGGGGGAGAGGAGGAGGAGGAGGAAGGTTAGGAGAGGAAGAGGAGGAGGAGGAGGATGAGGAGGAGGAAGGCAGGGAGGAGAAAGAGGAGGAAGAGGTAGAGGAGAAGGAGGAGGAGGAGAAGAGGAAGGAGGAGAAGGAAGAGAGGAAGGAGGAGAAGGAGCAGAAGGAGGAGGATGAGGAGGAGGAAGGGCTCCGTGCCACGTGTGCTGTGTGCTGGGGGGCTGCTGGTCAGACCGGGGGCTGCCTCCCCTCCTCCTCCTCCTCCCCTCGGTGCACAGGATGGGCAGGGCAGGAGCAGGTGTCCTGAGGGTCCCCCCGGTGCCGCTGTGCCCCCCCCTGCATGCACAGTGCCACGGCCACCGGTGCTCGTGCAGCTTTGCATGGCAGCCCTGCATGCGCCACGGCGCGGTGTGGTTGGTGGTGGGGGGCCACCCCCCCTCTGCCCCTCCTGCCCCCGTCCCCTCCTGGCTGTGCTCGGGGTCCTGCAGTGCACGAGGGGCAGGGGAACGGCTCCGGGTGGGGGCTGCTCCTTGGAGAGCTCCCCGAGCCCAGGGCCATGGGGCTGGGCACCCTGCTGGGGAAATGGAGGGGGGGGGACAGGGAACCCAGGGGTGCCCCCAGCCTCAATCTCTGCCCTGCCTGAGCACCTCCCTGCCTGCTGTGCCCGTGTCCAGCCCCACGCTGCCGTGCCATGCCTGGGCAGGATGCGGCGCCGCCGGCACGAGCTGGCACAGCGCCTGCGGGGCCCCACGGGGACCGGCCCTGCCCGGGGCTGCCTCCGGTTCTGGAGCTGGCTCCGGGCCCCGGCAGCGCTGCTTGGCCCCGGGGAGGCTTCTCCCCTCCTCTCCGTGTCTGGTTACAGGAGGGAGCGGCGCGGCACCGCTCGCCCCCGGCACCAGAGCTGTGCCCAGGCTCCATCCATCCCATGGGGAAGGGTCTGATAACGGGGTGGAGAGGTGGGACGGGATGCACCCACCCCACAGCTGCTATGTGGAGGGACAGGGGTAGAGTTGGACACCGCTGTCCCAGGGGGGTGGCAGCACCGGGGCACGGAGCTGGTGGGTGAGGATGAGCGCGGCAGGGCCGGGGACGGAGCTGAGCGAGGCCGATGATGCTGCAGTCACGAGGCGCAGAGCAGCCATCTGAGGGAGAGGAGCAGCCGGGCTGCTGGTGGAGCAAAAGGAGATCCTGGCGTGGGGCTGGCCCCGTGCCGAGCCGCATGGGGCCAGCACGCGGCGTGGCACCCGGGCACGGCACGGGGACAGCCCGCGGTCCTGCCCTGCGCCACTGCCCCAGCTCCACGCCACCTGCAGAGCCCTCAGGGGACCCCCCCTGCACGTCCCGGGCTGAGCCAAGATTTTGGCCAGGCCTTGTGGGATGGTGGGGAGGCGTGGGAGCGATGGAGACCCCCCCCCTGCACCGGGGGCGAGGGCCAGCCCGTGACTCACCCTCGGCGAGGCGCGCCGCGGTGCCAGCGGCTGCGGTCGGGTTTCATCTCCCGGCCAAGGGCTCATGTTCGGCACCTCTCCCCCTGCATTAAAGAGCCCTTTCATACCCGCTGTGATCTGCCCCTCCACTTCTTGCACTTTCTGCTCCTTCCCAGAGAGCACCCGGAGGCGCTGCGGCATTCAGACCGCCCCGGGGGGGCTTCCCTGAGCCCCCCAGAGCCTGCCACTGCCCCCACCAAAATGTGCCCGGTGCCAGGTCCAGCTCCTCCCTCAGGCTCAGGGCTCGGGCACCGATCCTGCCCGGGGCTTTCGGGTCTCCTCCGGGGTTGCCAGTGTCCAGGGAGCCCCCAGAAGCCGCGGGCTCTGGGGGTCTCACCTCGAGGCAGGTGCCCAGAACCTCTCCGCGCCGTGGCTAGCGGCCACCTTGCAGCGACACACTCAGTTCCTGCCAAATCCTCTTCTGCTTCTTGGTCCCTCCAGCCCTGCTGGCTTGCCCCATGCTCTCTGTGCCACCCCACCCCTGGTCCCTCCCCAAGTCCCCTGGCAGGGGAAAGGTTCCCCTGAGGAAAGGTGCCCCCGTGCCATGTTCCCCATGTGCAGGGGGTGCTGAGCCTGCCCCCATGCAGCAGTGCAGGGAGGCCGGGGGACACCCACCCAGTCCATCCCAGTGCCCGAGGCCTGACCAGTGCCTCAGTTTCCCCTTTGCCTGCAGGCAGGACCAGGAGGACAAGTGACCCATTCCCCCCGGACGCACGCTGCCACCCCCGGCACGCAGCCAAGGAGCTCCTGCCCCCCACCGCCCCCCGCCCCCAGCGCAGGGCTCAGCTGTGCTCCTGCTGCTGCCAGGGCCTGGCTGCCCCCCGGATTTCGGGTTCCCAGCACCTCTGGGGCAGGGCAGGACGTGCCTTGGCACAGCCGCCTGGCTCGCAGCCACCGCCGCCCCGGCATCCGCCTGCCTCTCCCGGCGTCCGGCGTGGGTGGGCGTCCGGAGGGGCTGCGTCCAAGGACCCGGAGGGACGCGGTGCCAGGGGGCACCCCGGGGTGCACAGGGCGTCACCGTGCCTGCCTGGTGTCACCACCCCATCGGAGGGGCTGGCGGGGGTCCCTGGACACAGGACGGGGGTCCCGTGGGGTGGCCGGCAGCCGGGGACGAGGCTCTGTGTGCGCACAGCTGCCGGCACGGTGCGGCGTGGCGTGGGTGGGTGCCCCGGCGTGCACACACCGAGCCCTGCTCCCCCCCCACCACCACCACCTTCCCCGCAGCCTCGTCACTCGGTGGCTTCGAGCTCAGCGAGGGTTTGCAGCCCCAGAAACGGTCGGGTTATTTTTAGCTGCTTTCCCGGCAGCGGCTTGCGAGTACCTGCAGCGCGCGAGATGGGCTGATAGCACAGGAAGCCGGCCGGGCTCCGCTTCCCCTGCCCGCCCCGGAGCTGCCCCCCGGGGTCCTGCCCCAGCCCCCGGCACGGGTGTGGGGAGGGGGCGTTGGAGCCCCCAGGGACGCTCGCCGCAATGGGGCCCCCACCATGGCCAGGGCTGCCCCCAGTTGGGGCCCTTTCCCCTCTCCACCATGGGGCCAGCGTCCCTGCCCCGTGGCACCGAGCTGACGGCTGCTCTCTGTTCTGTGTGCAGGCAAGGAGGAGAAGGAGGAGAACAACTTTGACAGCCTGAAAATGGAGGCAAGTATGGCCCTGGGCACCGAGACCCCCAAAAGGAGACACAGCAGAGCCCTGATGGAGCCCCCCGGGCTGGATGGGGCCCTGCACCCTGAACTCGCAGGGCTCCGGACCACACTGGGTGGTGCTGAGCAGTGCCAGGGGCTGTGCCCGCGGTGTCCCGGGGGGCTCCACTTGGGCTGGGTCCTGAAACACCCCTGGGGCTGTGCCAGAGGTGCCACCGTGGCACTGCTGCACCCACTGCTGGGTGTGGGCACGGGCTGGGGACGTGCGTGTACACGTGTGAGTGTGCACACGTGTGTGCTTGTGCGTGCACCCAGTTGGGGAGCGCCACCTTCCCAGCCCGTGCTGGTGGGCGCAGCACAATGCCCCCAAATCCCCCCGTAGTGCCCCCCGCAGCCCCCGTAGTGCCCCCCGCAGCCCCCTGTGATGCCACCCGCCCTGTGTCCCTGCGGAGCCGCAGCCTTCATCCTCCTCTCCCTCTCCCCGCTGTCTCGCAGGGCTCCCGCGGGCGGCTGCGCGGCGGGCTGGGCTGGGAGTCGAGCCTGCGGCAGCGCCCCATGCAGCGGCACACCTTCCAGGCCGGGGACCCCTACTACATCAGCAAGAGGAAGCGGGACGAGTGGCTGGCCCGCTGGAAGCGGGAGGTAAGGAGACACGGCCGGGGCGACGCCGGCACCGGTGCCGCGGCGTGGGAGCGGGTGCCGGGAGCACTTCCCAGTTGCTCACTGGGAGCACTGGTGCGGCGCAGAGCCCCAGGCAGGCTGCCAGTGCTGGTTGATGCCACCGGGCACCTGGCCTGGTGCGAGGGGCTCCCATGGGACCACCGCCCCCAGCAGGGCCCTGCGGAATGCGGGGGTCCCGGGGACAGGGCCGTGCGTGCGCAGCCGCCCGCGCTGGGTGCAGAGCAGGGCCCTTCTCCTCCTCCTCCTCCTCCTCCTCCTCCTCCCCGCGGGACCGGCCTTTTCTCCCCGTTTCCAGGGGAACCAGTGAGAGCCGTGACGCAATTAAAATAATAAAAGCTGAGGGCGGCGCAGGGGGGCTGCGAGGGGGCTGCGCGGGAGCCCCTGGCTGCACGGGAGCCAGCAGCCGCGGTGCCACCCCGCTGCGGGGAGAGGGGACCCCGGGGAGAGGGGACCCCGAGGAGCAGGACGAGGCTCCACATGCTCTGTCACGGCTCTGTGGCTTTTGGGGGACCTGGGCTGGGTCTTGGGGGGCCACTGGATGTGGGAGACCCCCGCCCGTCCCCGTGCCAGCACCGGGGATGCTCTGTGTATGTGGGGCAGGGGGGCTCCGTCACCCCCTCGCCCCCTTGGTCCCCTGGTTCTTTGGGGTCCGCAGCGAGAGCCCCCTTGGGTGGGTGCAGCCCCCAGCCCCCACCATGGCGCTGGTCCCCTCCATGTCCCCGTCGCCCCCCCCCTCTGCGCCGTCCCTCGCTGCCAGCAGGTCTCCCTGGCAACAGGTCCCCTCGGCCACCGCGGCACCATTCATAGCAGGCACCGCGCTGGGGTGGCCGGCACGGTGGCTTGTCCCCGTGGGGCACCGTGCTCAGGGCATGGCCAGCAGGGCCACCGTGTCCCCACGGGGTGCAAGGTGCAGCCGGTTTGTCCCCAAGGGGCATGGGATGTGGTTGGCACAGCCAGGACGTCCCCACGGGGTCCAAGGCGTGGCCGTGAGGTCCCCATGGGGTGCAGGACGCAGGTGGCATGGCCAGGGCATTGCTTTGGGGTGCAGGGCACGGCCACGGTGTCCCCATGGGGTGCATGGCATGGCTGTTGTGGCCACAAGGTCCCCATGGGGTGCATGGCACAGTTGTGATGTCCCCATGGGGTGCATGGCATGGCTGTTGTGGCCACAAGGTCCCCATGGGGTGCATGGCACAGCCAGGGCGTCCCCGCAGGCACCGCAAGGTCAGGGCGCAGCCGAGGGCCATGAGGGTGTCCGGGGGGGGGTCCCAGCTGGGACCTGCACCCCAGGGATTTCCACCCAAATAACGTGGCCTGGTTCAGGGTCTGCTGCCCTGCTGCGGGGCAGGGGGACGCAGGGACACAGGGATGTAGGGGACGCAGGGACGCAGGGGACGCGGGCGGTTCCCGCAGCCGCAGGGCGGCGCGGCACAGCCCCGGTGCAGCCGCACGCTGGCCACAAGCAGCACTGCAGCCCTGCGGCACCACGGCCACGGCCGGGGCCACGCACACAGCCCCTGGCTGCTGCTTCGCTCTGCGCCAAACCCGGCCCAGGAAAATGGGGCTGGGGACGTGGGGACATGGGGACGCCGTGGGGACATGGGGACGCCGTGCCGGTGCTGCCCCTTCTCGCCCCGCACAGCCCAGCGCAGGGCTCGGCACAGGCCGGGGGGATGCAGCACGCATTTTCCTCGGCACGGTTCGCTCGCCAAAAAAATTGCAGATTCAGGTCAGCCAGAATCGCTCGTCGGCCAAAAATAATTGGGGGAAAAAACGCTAAAAAAAAAAATCAACATACTCCTTTTCAGTGGTTCCTCGCTCTCAAACAATGCCGAGCGTAGCCGCGCCGAATTCCTTTATTTTTCTAATAAGACGAAGTGTTTTCTTTTCATTACGGGGAGAAGGCCTGAAATGCGTTCAAGCTGGGTCCGCCCGCCCGCCCTTGATCTCGCGGCGGGGCTGACAAACCGCGCCGCCCGCCCGCCCTGCGCCACTTGTCACCCGGTGCTGGTGGCCGCGCTGCGCTGCCAGGGGACGGGGACAGCCACGTGTGGCCGTGGCAGAGGGGACGGCGTGTCCTGCCGGGGGGCTCCCCAGGCCAGCCGTGCCCCCGGTTGCACCCCGAGGGTTCGGTTTATTTGGGGGTGCCAGGAGGGCAGGGGGACGGGGACAGTGGCACAGGGGTGGCAGTGGCCGAGCAGGTCGGTGGCTTTCTGCCTCCCTGCGTCAGGGCACTGCTCTGGCACGGGGGTGCTCTGGGGGCTCTGTCCCTGCACGGGGGCCACCTTGACCCGGGGGGTGGTCGCTGCCTCCACGGCACCCCCAGAGCAGCACCCAAGGGTGCGGGGAGGGGCTGGGCACCGGCCCTCAGCCATCCACAGCAGGATGGGGACGGGATGGAGATGAGGACAGGATGGGGATGGGGATGTTTTGGGGTTTGGATGGGGACAGGATGGGGATGGGGATGGGATGGGAATGGGGATGGGGATGGTTTGGGGTTCGGATGGGGATGGGATGGGGATGGAGATGGGGATGGGGATGGGATGGGGATGGAGATGGGGATGGGGATGGGGATGGGATGGGGATGGTTTGGGGTTGGGATGGGGCTGGGACGGCTGTGGCCCGAGGGCAGGAGGAGGATGGCTGTGCCCATCTCAGCTTATCTCCACGTTAATTGCCGGTGGATGGGGGATTTCCTCCCCCTGCCTGCTCCTTCCCCAGGACAGAGCCCCCAGCAGCAGCCCCCACCGGGAGGGGCCCACAGCTTTGGCCACAGCTTTTCTCCGGTGCTTTTCGTGTCCTCCCAGTCCCTCTGGGTCACCCCATTCCTGGTGGGGCTCCCCACGCTCCCTGCCCACAGCTCCCCCTGCCCCAAAATGCTCCGAGCATGCCCCTGGCCCCTCTCAGCCCTGGCCAGGCCAGGTGTCGGTGATCTTTTTGCTGTTTTTTGCAGTGCCCAGGGCACCGTGTGCCATTCCTGCCCAAACTGCTGGTGCCCAGCAGGCTGTGCCCCCCCCCGGCTGCCCCCAGTCCTTGGGCACGTCATGGATGTGGCCCCAGCTGGGCTGGAGTCCCCCCAGTACCCCCAGTGCCGCAGCACCTTGGTTGCTTGAGTGCTGTTGGGATTTCCTGTACAGGACCCCAGCACTCGTTCCTGAGAGGGGGTCCCCATGCCAGTGGGGTCCCTGTGCCATGGGGGTCCCTGTGCCATGGGGGTCCCTGTGCTATGGGGTCCCTGTGCCATGGGGTCCCCATGTCATGGGGGTCCCTGTGCCATGGGGGTCCCTGTGCCATGGGGTCCCTGTGCCATGGGGGACCCCATGGTCTGCACCTCAAGGCCCACGTCCCAGGGGGGTCACAGCACTGCTGTCCCCCCTCCCTGCTGCAGCTGCCAGGTGCGAGGATCTGTGCCGAGGCTGTCTCAGCTCGGGTTTGGGGAGCACTGGGACCATTCTGTGGGGTGAACCCCAACCCAAGCAGCCCTGAGGGGACGGGGAGCCAGGCCCCTGCCACCCCAGACCCCTTTGGTGGCTCCGTGCAGGTTTTCCCTGGGCGCGTGGCACCTTTTGTGGGGCTGGGACAGGGGGACGCTGTGGGGTGGGCTGAGAGGGGACGTGTTCCATGTCCCCAGAGCTGTGGGGTGCCCTGGTTCCTCCTGCACGGAGGGGATGGGGTGCCCCTGGGCTGCCCTGATGGTTTTGGGGTGCAGCTGTGTCGATGGTGTTCGAGGTGCTCTGCGTGTCCCCACCCTGCGCAGGGGGCTCTGCCCGTGGGGGACCCTCACCCCCCAGTCCCCTGGGCAGGGTGGGGGTAGCAGGGGCCAGGCAGAGGGGCTGGGGCTGGGGACGAGGCGGGGGGGGGGGGCTCTGCTGCCATCCCCCACCCCATCCCCCCAAACTGTCCCATGCCCGGGGCCACGGCCATTGCCCCTTTGTCCCCTCCATCTGCAACACAAAGGGGCCCTGAGCATGGCCCTGGGCTGCAGCAGGGGGGCACAGTGGGGGGGGGGGGCAGCGGGCTGGGTGCTGCCAGGGGGCACCCTGGGGTGGGGGGCACAAGCAGGGCCCCGTGCCGTCGCCGTCTCTGCGCTCGTTTTTTTGTCGTGGCCCAGGGACACGGAGCGGTGCCCGGAGCCCCCCGGAGACCCCCGGAGCACGCGGGGGCCACGCTGCCCCCTCCCACCCTTGGCACGGGTCCGTGGGTGCGTGGCGGGGGGGGCTCTGCGCTGCGATGCTGCGGGGGGGCCGGGTGCTGGCATGGCCTCGGGGGGTCCCGGCCACGGTGCCAGTGCTGGGGGCACCCAGGAAGGACGGGGGCGAGAACGAGGTGTGGGGCCAGGGGGCTGGGACCACAGGGGACCCCAGGGGACCCCGGGACCCCAGGGGACAGCCTGGGGGCTGTGACCCCATGGGACAGCCGGGACCCCAGGGGGCTGTGACCCCAGGGGACCCCACGGGACCCCACAGGACACCCAGCTCCATGGGTGCGCGCTCTGGGGTGCCTGGAGCTGCTTTGGGGTGCAGCTCAATGGGATGAGTTTGGGGACTCCCGAGCTCCTTGGGGACGCTCAGGGGACACGTGCCGGGGGGGTGCAGCCCGGATGGGCCCCCCCAGACCCCTCGGGGACACTCGGGGACACACACCGGGGCGCTGCAGCCTGCCCCAGGCCGGTGCCCCAGGAGCCGTGCCCAGCGCACGGAGCGGGACAGGGGGTCCCCGAGGGGTCCCGGCCGTGCCAGGGGGGGTGAACCGGGCCAAGGGGGGCCAAGGGGTCCCGCCCCCGCCCCCGCCCCCCGCCGGATTCCTGCCGTGCCAGGCCGCCCCCCCCGGGGCAGCCCATGCCCGGGGGCCAGGGCCATTCCCCCCTTTGTCCCTGCGCTCTGCAACACAAAGGGGCCGGGAGCGGGGCCGCGGCCGCCGGGACAAAAGGCAGCGCCGAGCGGCGCCGGGGCGGGGAGTCTGCCCCGAGCCGAGCCGAGCCGAGCCGAGCCGGGACTGCCACCGCCGGGCACGGGGACACTGCTGGTGAGTGACCGCGGGGGTCTGCTGGGGGGCTGGCACGGCTCGGCACGGCTCCGGGGGCTGCCCCGAGAGTGGCTGCGGACCGGGGGCTGCGCAGAGGCTTTGATGCTGCTTGGCCCGGCTCGGCACGGCTCGGCACGGCCCGGCACGGCTCGGTACAGCCCGGTACAGCCCGGCACGGCTTGGCCCGGCTCGGCACAGCCCGGCACAACCCGCTGCTTCCCCGCGGCCACCCGGTCCGGCCAGGGAAGGAGGCTCCCAGCCGTGCCGGGCCGAGCCGAGCTGTGCGCCCCGGGGGCCAGGGGACCGAACCGTGCCGAGCCGAGCCGAGCCGAGCCGGACCGGGCAACACCGGACCGTGCTGAGAGATCCGTGTCGGTCCGATCCGATGCGATCCGACCCGATCCGGGCCGGTCCGTGCCGTGCGGGGCGGGGCCGTGCCGGGTGCCCCCGAGCCGTGCCGAGCCGTGCCGAGCCGTGCCGCCCCTCCCCCGCAGCCAACCAGCCGGGCCGGCGGGGACCATGTGACCCGGGGTTCCCAGACAAAGAACCGCCGGCCGTGCCCCCCCGGCAGCCCCCCGGCACGGCTCGGCACGGTTTGGCACGGTTTGGCACGGTTCGGCCCCACCGCGGCCCGCATGGGTAGGTGCGCTGCGCGGGATGGGCGCGGATCGGCACGGGTCAGCCCGGCTCGGATCGGCACGGTTCGGCACGGTTCGGCACGGTTTGGCACGGTTTGGCACGGGTTGGTCCAGCTCAGCCCATCTCGGCCCGGGCCATCTGAGTTTGCCGTGGTTTGGCCCCGCTGGGGCCGTCCCGGCGGAGTTTGGCACGGTTTGGCTGGGGGCAGCTGAAGTTGGCACGGCTCGGCACGGCTCGGCACGGCTCAGCTCCGTGCGTCCCGGCTTGGCCAACTTGGTGACAACTGAGCCGGGCGCACGGCTCCCTCCGGGGGTGGCCCCGCACTGGGGACAGGGGGTGCCCGGGGGGTACCCAGGGGGTGCCAGGTGTCCCGGGATAGGCAGGGGTGGGATGGAGACTGGGATGGGGGGGGTGTGGGTTGGAGGTGGGGGGCTCCCGGGCTGGGCCCCCTCCTTCTGGTGTCGCTGGGGGGCTCCTGAGCCCCCCCTCCCAGCTCCAGTCCCAGGGAGGCCACAGCTCCACCAACTGGGGCAGGGGCTGGGGGGCTGCTGGTGGTTTGGGGACACCCAGGATGGGGCAGGGGCAGGGGCAGCCCCCTGGGGGGCAGAGCAGGCTCTGGCTGGGGGCAGCTGCCAGCTCCTCCAGCTGTCCCCCCCCCCAAGGACTTGCAGGGGGAAACTGAGGCACAGGGACAGCGGGGAGCACCCTGCGGCACAGCCCAGGGGCTGGGGCAGTGGGTGATGCTGGGGGGCTCCAAGCTGTTGAGATGGAGCCCCCTGCTATGGGGGGGGCCTGGTGGGAGCCTGCCCCATGGGGTGGGGGCAGGAAAAGGGATGGGGGTGGGATGGGGTGAGGATGTGATGGAATGGGGATGGGGTGGGATGGGGGTCTGATGGAATGCAACAAGTTTGGGATGGGATTGGGATGGGGATGGGGATGGGATTGGGATGGGATGGGGATGGGATGTGGAGGGGGGGTCCTGCCCTACCCTGACGCCCCCTCTCCACCCCCCACCAGGCGGAGAAGAAGGCGAAGGTGATCGCCGTGATGAACGTGGTGGAGGAGACGCCGCGGGCCGAGCCCCAGAAGGAGGAGGAGGCCAGCCCCCCCGCCTCGCAGCAGCCCACCGACCCCGCCTCGCCCAACGTGGCCACCACCCCTGAGCCCGTGGTGGCCGACGCCGTCGACAAGAACACCTCCAAATCCGCCGACGACGAGCCCGAGTACGAGGTGAGCGCACCCCATGGTGCCCCTAACCCCGGACCCCTTCCCTCCTCGCCATGCAGCCCCCCTGACGCTGTGTCCCCCCCCTTTTCCCCGTCCCCTCTCCGGGCGCAGGACGGCCGCGGTTTCGGCATCGGGGAGCTGGTGTGGGGCAAGCTGCGCGGCTTCTCCTGGTGGCCGGGGCGCATCGTGTCCTGGTGGATGACGGGACGGAGCCGGGCGGCCGAGGGCACCCGCTGGGTGATGTGGTTTGGGGACGGCAAGTTCTCGGTGGTAAGTGGCACCCCCCGGGCTCCCTGTGCGCCGTCCCCATTTTTTGGTGGCTCCCCCGCAGCTGTGTGACATCCGCGTCCCCGTCTGCCCCGCAGGTCTGCGTGGAGAAGCTCCTGCCCCTCAGCTCCTTCTCCAGCGCCTTCCACCAGGCCACCTACAACAAGCAGCCCATGTACCGCAAAGCCATCTACGAGGTGCTGCAGGTGAGCGCTGGGGGGGGGGGCGCGGGGACGGGGGGGTTCTCGGTGCACAAGGGGAGCGGGGCTGGGCACGGCCCCTCCTGGGGGCTCCGTGTGGGCGCACCCAGCCCTGCTCCATCCCCCCGTGGCACAAAAGCTGCATCCCAGGGAGCTCAGGGCATCGCTCGGGGGGTGGGCGAGCACCGGGGGGGCTCCCTAGGATGATGTTGGGGGTGTCTGGGGGTCGCTTGGCCTGGCCAGGGGGCTCTGGAGGCTGGGGGTCTGGGGGACCGGCATCTCTGGGGAGGTTCTGGCCCTTTGGGGTCTCCTGGCAGCTCCACAAGGTGTCAGGGTTTTAGGGGGGGGTCTGCTGGTGTAGGTGTAGCACAGGGCTATGGGGGGGTCCCGGTGGGGGCAGGGGGTGATGCCGGTGCCCCCCCGTGCAGGTGGCGAGCAGCAGAGCGGGGAAGATCTTCCCGGCGTGCCCCGAAAACGACGAGACCGACACCTCCAAGGTGGTGGAGATCCAGAACAAGCAGATGATCGAGTGGGCGCTGGGAGGCTTCCAGCCCTCCGGCCCCAAGGGCCTGGAGCCCCCCGAGGGTGAGTGAGCGGCAGCGGGGGACGGCTGCGGGACCCCGGGCAGGGTGTGGAGGGGCACGGGGACACCAGGAGCAGTGTCCCCAGGGGACACGGAGCCACTCGGGAGCCTTGGTGGCACCAGTGGCTGCAGCCCCCCGGGGACCCTCAGCAGAGCCGGGGTGCTGCGTCCCCCACCACGAGGTCCCTGCTCACAGCCCCCCACCCCCTTTCCCACAGAGGAGCGCAACCCCTACAAAGAGGTGTACACGGAGATGTGGGTCGAGCCCGAAGCCGCTGCCTACGCACCACCCCCGCCCGCCAAAAAGCCCAGGAAAAAGCACAACGGAGAAAGCCCAAGGTCAAGGAAATCATCGACGAGCGCACCCGAGGTACTGCAGCCCCCCCCCGGGACCCCCTGCCCCATGGCACGGGGGTGAGCACCACGCCGTGTCCTCGGGACCGGGTCCCTTCGCCCCGTTCGGTGCTGAGTGCAGGGGTCCGGGCTGGGGCAGGACCCCCCCGAGGTGCACAGAGGGGCTCCCCCCCGTGCGCCCCCACCCTGAGCACCCCTCTCCCCCGCAGAGCGACTCGTCTACGAGGTGCGGCAGAAATGCAGGAACATCGAAGGTGAGCACGGCCCCGGGGCTGGGGCACAGCCTGCACCCCCCGGCGGTGGAGGCAGAGGGGCTGGGGGGGTGGGAGAGGGTTGGGGGGGGGCCGCGAGCCTCAGCCTGGGGAGCTGAGGGGGGCCACGAGCAGCCCCCAGCCCATGGAGGTGGGAGGGGTCCTTGGGGGATGCCACCAGGGTTTGGCATCACAGAATGGGCAGGGGTGAGGAGCAGGGTGGCCCCATCTGGCTCTGGGGGTACCTGGGGGGGGGTCACAGACCCCCCATGGTCACCTGCCCCCCCCTCCATGCCCCCCAGATATCTGCATCTCCTGCGGGAGCCTCAACGTCACCCTGGAGCACCCTCTGTTCATCGGGGGGATGTGCCAAAACTGCAAGGTACGGGGCAGCGGGGGACCCCCGCCCCAAAACGCCCTGTCCCCATACCCCCTGTGTGGCCCAGCACGGGGCTCTGGGAGGGGGGCACACCACGCTGACACCCTCCGTTTTCCCCCCCCTGCCCCCCAGAACTGCTTCTTGGAGTGCGCGTACCAGTACGACGATGACGGTTACCAGTCCTACTGCACCATCTGCTGCGGCGGCCGCGAGGTGCTCATGTGCGGCAACAACAACTGCTGCAGGTCGGTGCCGCGGGGGTCCCGCGGGGCTGGGGGGGCCCTGGCGTCCCCCAGAGGCCAAGGGGAGGGGGCTGCCATTGGTCCCGTGGGGTGCAGGACCATGCAGGGGGGCATCACCATGGCACACCGACGTGTGCGCACAGCCCTGGCGCACCGCGGCCACCTGGGGGTGGTGCTGGGGGTCCCGGGGTCCCGTCCCCCTGCCCCCAGCCTGTGGCTGATGCACACCCCCCTCCTGTCCCCCCCCCAAGGTGCTTTTGCGTGGAGTGCGTGGACCTGCTGGTGGGCCCGGGGGCGGCACAGGCGGCCATCAAGGAGGACCCCTGGAACTGCTACATGTGCGGCCACAAGGGCATCTACGGGCTGCTGCGGCGGCGGGAGGATTGGCCCTCCCGCCTGCAGATGTTCTTCGCCAACAACCACGACCAGGAGTTTGTGAGTGCCCCCCGCCCCCTGCCCTGCTGCGGGACCCCCGCTCGCCCCCCCCCCGCCGCTTCACGCGCCCCCCGTTGCTTGCAGGACCCACCAAAGGTTTACCCGCCTGTCCCAGCCGAGAAGAGGAAGCCCATCCGCGTGCTCTCGCTCTTCGATGGCATCGCCACAGGTGGGTGGGGGGCACGGGGGGTCCCTGTCCTGGCAGCCCCTCAGCAGGTCCCACCCCGAGGGAGGTTGGGGAGGATCCAGGGCTGGCACGTGCAGAGTGGGGATGGGGATGGGGATGGGTTTGGGGATGGTTTGGGTTTGGGGTTGGTTTGGGTTTGGGGTTGGTTTGGGTTTGGGGTTGGTTTGGGTTTGGGGATGCTTTGGGTTTGGGGATGGTTTGGGTTTGGGGATGGTTTGGGGATGGTTTGGGTTTGGGGATGGGTTTGGGGATGATTTGGGTTTGGGGATGGTTTTGGGTTTGGGGATGCTTTGGGTTTGGGGATGCTTTGGGTTTGGGGATGCTTTGGGTTTGGGGATGCTTTGGGGATGCTTGGGTTGGGATGCTTTGGGTTTGGGGATGCTTTGGGGATGGGGATGCTTTGGGGATGGGGATGGGATGGGATGGAGAGGGGGGATGAGCCCCCTCCCCTACACCCCGCTGACCCCGGCCCCACTGCCCGCAGGCCTACTGGTGCTGAAGGACCTGGGCATCCAGGTGGATCGCTACATCGCCTCCGAGGTGTGCGAGGACTCCATCACCGTGGGCATGGTGAGGCACCAGGGCAAGATCATGTACGTCGGGGACGTCCGAAATGTCACCCAGAAACACGTAGGTGCTGCCGCCTGCCCCCCGTGGCTTCCCCTCCCTGCGGGGGGCATCCCATCCCATCCCATCCCATCCCATCCCATCCCATCCCATCCCATCCCATCCCATCCCATCCCATCCCACCCCTCAGCCCTGTCCCCTCCGACACAGCCCCTGTGCCCTGTGCTGCCTTGTCCCCTGGCACCGCTGCCGTGCCCGGAGCAGGTGGGTGCAGACCCCCGGCTCACCCCCCCCGTGTGCTTTTCCCTCGCAGATACAGGAGTGGGGCCCGTTCGACCTGGTGATAGGGGGGAGCCCCTGCAACGACCTCTCCATCGTCAACCCGGCCAGGAAGGGGCTGTACGGTGGGTGTCCCCGTGTCCCCGTGTCCCCATGTCCCCGTGTCCCCGCGCTGCTGCCTGCTGCCCCCCTGCCAGCGCCGGCCCCCTGCTGACACCCTGCTTCTCTCTCTCTCTCCTGCCCAGAGGGCACCGGGCGCCTCTTCTTCGAGTTTTACCGCCTCCTGCACGAAGCCCGGCCCAAGGAGGGCGACGACCGGCCCTTCTTCTGGCTCTTTGAGAACGTGGTGGCCATGGGGGTGAGCGACAAAAGGGACATCTCGCGCTTCCTCGAGGTGAGTGCCGGGGCTGGGCGCAATGGCACCGCCGCTGTCCCCTGGGGACCCGGTGTGTGGGGGCACCCCGGGGCCCCGCAGAGCCCCCGGTGACCCCCGGCCTCTCCTCGCTCCGGCAGTCCAACCCCGTCATGATCGATGCCAAAGAAGTGTCTGCGGCACACAGGGCGCGGTACTTCTGGGGGAACCTTCCCGGTATGAACAGGTCGGTGAGAGCGCCCCGGCTGCGTGCGTGCCCGGCAGTGGCGGGGGCTGCCCAAAGGGCTGGGGTCTGACCCCGGTGTGGCCGTGGCTCCGCGGTTTCGTGGCTGTAGCCCCCCTCGGTTGCAGCCCTCCTGGCACCGTCCCCGGTGTGGCTGTGCCCTGCTCGCTGTGCAGGAGCAGCAGCCCCAAAACCCCAGAGCTGCTCCCTCTGCTCGTGGCACGGCACGGAGCTGGCCCCCCCCAGCACCTCTCCCAGCGCGTGTATCCGCTGCGTCTCGCTGTCCCCCCCAAACAGCCCCCAGATGGCTGCAGCCCCCCCAAACCCCTCCTGGGGAGCCGCTGCATGGGGACACGGGGATGCGGCGCTGCCACCCCACACTGTCCCCCTCTCTCCCTCCAGGCCGCTGGCGTCCACAGTCAACGATAAGCTGGAACTCCAGGAGTGCCTGGAGCACGGCAGGATAGCCAAGGTCAGCCCCGGGGGGGGGACATGGGGGGGGGTCCTCGCCCTGCCAGGACCCCTGGGTTGCAGGGAGGGGTGCAGGGAGGGGTGCAGGGGGGGTAGGGGTGGTGTTGCCCACCCGGGGTTCAGCAGCATCTCCACGGGGAGCGCTCCGGATCCCCCTGCCCGCGGTGCGCCCCCCCCCCCAGCCGGCAGCGTGACCAGCCTGTGCCTCTTGCAGTTCAGCAAGGTGCGAACCATCACCACCCGCTCCAACTCCATCAAGCAGGGCAAAGACCAGCATTTCCCCGTCTTCATGAACGAGAAGGAGGACATCCTGTGGTGCACGGAGATGGAGAGGTACTGGGGCCGAGGGGGGGAGCTGCGGGGCTGGGGGGCTGCTGATCCCCCCCGGATGGTCCTCGCGGCGCTCGGGCTGGCTGCTCGGTGGCGCAGCTTCGTGTGCGACCTTGCCAGAGGCCACCTCCGCCCCTCGCCCTCCGCCCGCGCCCGGCTGAGCCCCCGCCGTGTCCCCGCAGGGTCTTCGGCTTCCCGGTGCATTACACGGACGTGTCCAACATGAGCCGCCTGGCCCGGCAGAGACTGCTCGGCAGATCAGTGGAGCGTGCCGGTGATCCGCCACCTCTTTGCTCCCCTGAAGGAATACTTTGCCTGCGTTTAAGAGAGACGGGACAGGAACTGGTAACACAGAGCGCGTCAGAAACAAAACCATCCACGCCAAGAGAAGTGAAAACACGGAATGAGAGAAGAGTCAGCACCCAGAAGAGAGACGGGATTTCGCAGCCCGACGGGAACCCGGCACACGTCTCCCCGAGCGAAAGGGTTTGGTGTCCTCTCCTGAATTTCCAATGTTCAGCTTTTAGCCTATTTAAAAAAAAAAAAAAAAAACGACAAAAAACAAAAAAGAACAAAAAACGACAAAAAAGAAAGGAAAAAACAAAAAAGAAAACAAAAACAAAAAAAAAAAAGAAAAAAACCAAAACCATTTTTTTTTTTTGGGTAACCTTTAAGTTTTCCGCTCTTTTCTGGCTGGGTTTTTCTGTTCGTTTGGTTTCTGCTTCTCGGAGCAGCGGGCGAGCCGCGGCGCTGTCGCCAGCCCTGCTCTCGGAGGAGGGGAAACGGCCGCGGGAAAGCCCAGCCGGGAGAGGCGGAGGCGAGGGAGACGGGACCGGGACCGGGACCGGGACCGGGAGCACAACGCAGGGAGGCGCTCGGCCAGCTCCGCAACCGACTGAGCCTCACTCTTTTTTTTCCACCAGCACCATGCACTGGTGATATGGAGCAAAACCAACTGGCAGGGAAGCCACGAACACAACACACCACAACACACACCTTTTCTACAGTATTTTGGGTGCCTACCACACAGGAAACCTTGAAGAAAGCAAAACCCTAGAAGCCGCTGTTACCTCTTGTTTACAGTTTATATATATATGATAGATATGAGATATAGATATATATATATATAAAAGGTACTGTTACTACTGTACAACCTGACTTCATAATGGTGCTTTTAAACAGCGGGGTGAGTCAAGACATCAGCTTCCATGTTGCCTTACGTGCCAGGCCTTTCCGGAGCTGCGCGGGGAGGGGGGCCGGGGCGGCCGGCGGGGCCGGGGCGGGAAGCCCCCACCCCGAGTCATGCAATAACCTTTTTCTGTCCCAAAAGGAAGCGCCTCCCTCGGCGGCCGCCCAGGCCCGACGTACTGGTGCTGTTCTGCGTACGTGGCCCTGAGGGTGCTGAGGTCCGGGACGCGCCGGCGCGGAGGCAGGCAGGGACGCAGGCGGAGCAGGGGGGGGGCGGCCGCGGGTTGGGGGGCTCGGACCCTGGTGCTAACGCCCCACGAGTGCGGGGCCGGGACGGGGCAGGAGCCTGTGTGCCACGGTCCCCCCCAGGAGCCGTTTTTTTTTGGAGCGCGTTTTTTGGAGCGAGCCCCTCGGTGGTGCCGGTGGCCGCAGGGGCCGGGAGCCGTGGTGCGTGCGGGCAGGGCGCAGGCAGGTGCTGGCGGTGCTGTGGATGGTGCTACTTTGTCTGGCAGCTCTAGGTGCTGCGGGGGGCCGGGGCAGGGTGCGGGTGCGTGCCCAGCCCAAGGCTCGGGGGGGGGCCGGGGTCGGTGCTGTGAGGGAGAGGGGGCTCCGCCAGGGGGGGAGCGCAGGGACTGGTGCTAAGGCGCGGGGAGGCTCGGAGAGGTCTCCGGCCCCGTCGCCGTCTCTTCCTGTAACTGTGAAAGGCACCGAGGAGGGGGGACACCTGTGCATGGGGGGGCGGGGGCCAGGCCGCCCATCCCCTGGGACCCCCCCCTCCCCGGCTGTCGCTGGAGGGCCGCCGGCAGCTCGGTGCGGGGTGCTGGTAATTCGCAGCGAGCCGCGCTGGTGGCGAGCGGGCACCCGTGGGTGCCGCGGGGTGCTCGGAGAGGTGCTAGGACCCACAGCGGTGGGGGCAGGTGGAGGGGGCGCCCCGGTTCCCCCCCCCCAGCTCCCTCCACATGGTGCTAGGAGGGGCTCCTGAGCCCCTGTTGTCGGTGTGTGGCGGCAGGCGCGGGTGGCACCAGGCTGAGATGCTCTGCAGGGCACCGCGGCTGGGGGCTGGGGGCAGGCAGGATGCGGCCCCCTCCAGCCCTGGGGTCTGAGATGGGGCCGTGGGCTCCAGCTCGGCCCCAGGGCTGGGTCCCAGGTGGCCCCGCAGTGTGGGTTGAGTCTCGCAGGGGTCTGCACCGCCGCAGCCCCGCATGGTGCTGGGTGTGAGTCCTGCCCGGCCCCGCAGCGCTGGGTGCGGGTGCTGCGGTGCCCTGCGGCACCGTTGGCGAGCCTTGCACGGCCCCGCAGCACGGGGTGCAAACCTTGCACGGCCCCGTAGCTCTGTGTGCCCGTCCTGCAGCGTGCTGCAGAACCAGCTGCGAGCCCTGCGTGGCCCCGTTTGGGGGTCCCACACGGCCCCGCAGCACGGGGTGCGCGCATGGCACGGCCCCGCAGCGCTGCTCTCGGCTCCTGCACGGCCCTGCAGCGGTGCCTGCGGCTTGTGCAAGCCCTGCACGACCCTGCAGCGCCGGGCACGAGCCCCGTGTGCCCCGGCAGCGCCGCTCGGGGGTCCCTGCGGACCCCACGGTGCGTTCCCCGGGACCCGCTCACCCCATGGCACCTCCCGTGGGTCCGGTCCCCGGCGCGGCACCGAGCACAAGTCGCGCGCAGCTCCCGGCCCCGCCGCAGCGCGGGGGCTCCTCCGCCCACCCCGGGCGCCCGTGCCTGGGCCGCCCGGGCTGGGCAGAGGGGCCGGGGCCGGTGCCGGTGCCGGCGGAACGCAGGTTCCTGCCGCGGCACAACTGGAAGGCGCCGGGGCTGCTCGGGGCACCGGCACCCCTTTGGTGGCCGCCGGGTCTCCGTGGGGCCGTGGGGATGCGTGGGGAAAGAGTTCAGTTTTTAACGTACCCGACTCACGTCTTTTTTTAAAAAAAACAAACAGACAAAATTTTGTTGCACAGCCCTAGATTTAAAACAGTTAAAAATAAAAATAAAAAAAAAATAAAAAAAATAAAGCCTAAATTCCTTAAGATCCGCCGAGGGAGTAGGTGACAAACACGGTGCTAAAACATTTTATTAAAAATATATATTGTTAAATTAAGTCTGCTGTCTGGACAATGACTGTTTGTTTTGTTTTCTTGTAGTGGAGTTTCAAAGAGCACTATTATTTTACTCTTATATATTATTATTAAAAAAAAAAAAAAAAAAAAGAAAAAACAAAAAAGGCATTTTAACTTTGTACTTGAAAACTAAATGAGAGATTTCATGTGTTTTAGCCTAGACATTGAAGTAGCTGATGCTTAACTATTTGTGGGGAATCATGTACTCATACCGAGGAATAAACGCGTAGAGTTTGGGATCCCTCCTCTCCTCTGATTTGGCTCAGCCCGCGCCCGACGCCACATTCCCGGCCGCGCCGCCCGGCCCCCAGCTGCTGTTCCTCCTTTTCATTTTCTCCTTTTTTCTCTCTCTCGGTTCGTTCCTTTTTTGTTTTTTGTTGGTTTGTTTTTTTAGGGTCGCTTCTCTATTTATTGACGATGATACTGTACATTTCACCGTATGGTTCTGGCCCGCGGCGGGCTTGCCCGGCACTCTGTTGTATCTGTGTAAGTATTGCTCGTGACATAGCTGTTATGAACTAATTAAAAGGTCAAATGCGTGCAGCAGATGTAGAAAGTCTGTCCGTTCCGCTTTCATCCCATCCTCCTTTTTTTTTTTTTTTTTCTTTGGTGCCCAGAAGCGTATCATACAGACAAGCTCCTTTCTAATGTACTTGTGCTGGAGAACACTTGAATAAATGTACTGTTTTTGTGCAAAAAAAAAAGAGGAAAAAAAAAAGAGGAAAAAAAAAAAAGAGAAAAAAAAAAAAAAACATCCTCGGGTCCTTGTGCTTTGTGTCCTGCCGGCACCTGCGCGCGCCCCCACGGGGGGGTCCCATGGGTGGGGGGGTCTCAGTGCCTGGTGGGGTCTCAAGGTGGTGGGGTCCCAGGGCTGGGGGCTCTGTGCTGAGCCCAGCTCCCACAGGGAGGCCACGAGGGGGGCTTTGCTCTTCCAGCACGGAGATGAGGGGGTGCCAAGGGGCGCCCTGCATGGCTGCCCCACACCCTGGGGCAGTCAGTGGGGTGCCACGGCACCTGCCCCAGCTGCCTGTGCGGGTGGGTTTGGGATGGGGGGGATGGATGGGGGTGGGATGGATGGGATGGGATGGATGGGGTGGGTTTGGGATGGGGGGAATGGATGGGGATGGGATGGATGGGATGGAATGGATGGGGTGGGTTTGGGATGGGGGGAATGGATGGGATGGGATGGATGGGATGGGATGGAATGGATGGGGTGGGTTTGGGATGGGGGGGAATGGATGGGATGGATGGGGTGGGTTTGGGATGGGGGGAATGGATGGGATGGGAGGGAAGGAGATGGGACGGATGGGATGGGATGGGATGGATGGGGTGGGTTTGGGATTGGGGGAATGGATGGGGATGGGATGGGATGGAATAGGATGGGATGGGAGGGAAGGAGATGGGATGGATGGGATGGGATGGGATGGGATGGGATCGCTGAGTGCAACCTCAGTAAGCCTGCAGATGAAACCAAGTTAGGGGACGTGCCAGTATGGCAGCACTGGGCTAAACTGGGCTGCACTGGAGCATTAGATGTAGAGCTCGGTGATGTGGTTTAGTGGAGGACTGGTTGGTGTTAGGTCAGGGGTTGGGCTGGGTGAGCTTGGAGGGCTCTCCCCCAACCGGGGTGGTTCTGTGACTGTGCCCGGCTGTGGGCACCCCAGGGGGACACGGAGCTGCTGGGGCACAGCCAGGGGGGCTGCGGAGGTGCTGAGGGGGCTGGAGAGGGGGAGCCCGAGGGCAGAGCTCATCGGGGGGCACAGCCACCCCCAGGGAGGCTGCCGGGATGGGGCCAGGCTCTGAGCCCCCCCGGCTGTTCTGGGAGGCTGTGAAATTCATTTCACGGATCTAAAATACGCTTCATTGGGCTAAAATGGGCTGCACAGGGCTAAACTGGGCTGCAGAGGACTAAACTGGGCTGCACTGGGCAAAATTGGGCTGCAGTAGGTTACAGAGGGTTAAACTGGGCTCCACTGGGCTCAATGGGACCTGTTATACTGGGCTGCACCGGGCTAAGTTGGGCTTACTTGGCTCTGTTATAATGGGCTCTACTGGGCTGCACTGTGCTAAACTGGGCTAAACTAGGCTAATCAGGGCTATGCTGGGCTTCACCAGGCTAAACTGGGCTGCACTGGGCTAAACTGGGCTCCACTGGGATAAAATGGGCAGCACTGGGCTAAACTGGGGTGAACAGGGCTCCACTGGCTGCACTGGGCTTAGTGGGACCTGTTATACTGGGCTGCAGTGGACTACACTGAGCCAAATTGGGCTTTTTTGGCTCTGTTATGATGGGTTTTATTGGGCTGAACTTGGATTATTGAGGCTGGGTGGGGCTGCACTGGTCTAAACTGGGCTGCAGTGGGCTCCATTGGACCTATTATACTGGGCTGCAGTGGGCTGCACCAGGCTAAATTGGGCTTACTTGGTTCTGTTATAATGGGCTAAACTGGGAAAAACAGGGCTAAGTTAGACCAAATTGGGGTGCGCTGGGATGCACTGGGTTAAATTGGGCTGCAGTGGGCTAAATTGGGCTAAAATTGGCTTAAATGGGCAGCACTGGGCTAAACGAGGATGCACTGGGCTCACTGGTCTAAACAGGGATCCACAGGGCTGCACTGGGCTCAGTGGGACCTGTTATACTGGGCTGAACTGGGCTGCACCAGGCTAAACTGGGATTTCTTCTCTCTGTTACAATGGGCTCTAAACTGGGCTAAATCAAGCTAATCCTGGCTAATTGGGGCTGGGCTGGGCTGCAGCAGGCTAAACTGGGTAAAACAGGGCTGCACTGGGCTAAACCACACTCCGTGGGGCTCAACCAGGCTAAGCGGGTCTAAACTAGGCTAATCGGGGCTGTGCTGGGCTATACTGGGCCAAATGGGGCTGCAGTGGGCTCAACTGGGCTCTACTGGGCAACACTGGGCTAAAATGAGCAACACTGGGCTAAACTGGGCTTCAGTGGGCTCTGGTGGGCTAAACTGGGCTGCACTGGGCTAAAGTGGGCTCACCTGGGCTCAACTGGACCTGTTTTACTGGGCTGCATTGGTCTGCACTGGGCTAATTTGGGCTTACTTGGCTCTGTTATAATGCGCTCTACTGGGCTGCAGCAGGCTAATCGGGGCTATGCTGGGCTGCACTGGGCCAAACTGGGCTGCAGTGGGCTCAGCTGGGCTCTACTGTGCTCAGCTGGGCTAAAATGGGCAACACTGGGCTAAACTGGGCTGCACTGAGCTCTGCTAGGCTAAAGTAGGCTCACCTGGGCTCAAAGGGATCTTTTATACTGGGCTGCAGTGGGCTGCACTGGGCTAAACTGGACCAAACTAGGCTAATTGGGGTTGTGCTGGGCTGCACTGGGCCAAACTGGGCTTTTTTGGCTCTGTTGTGATGGGTTTTACTGGGCTGAACTGGGCTAAACTTGGCTTATTGAGGCTGGGCTGGCTTCCACTATGCTAAATTGGGCTGCACTGGGCTCTACTGGGCTAAATTGGGCAACACTGGGCTAAACAGGGCTGCAGTGGGCTCTGCTGGGCTCCACTGGGTTTTACTGGACTCACCAAGGCTCATCTGGGCTCAGTTGGACCCCTTACACTGGGCTGCAGTGGGCTTCACTTGGTTAAACTGGGCTTCCTTGGCTCTGGTACAATGGGCACTACTGGGCTGCACTGGGCTAAACTAGGCTAATCGGGGCTGGGCTGGGCTGCACTGGGCTCTACTGGGGTAAGTTGGGTAGCACTGAGCCAAATTTGGGTGCAGTGGGCTAAACTGGGCTCCATTTGGGCTAAACTGGGCTCAATTGGACCTGCTATACTGGGCTGCACAGGGCTGCACCGGGCTAAATTGGGCTTACTTGGTTCTGTTATAATGGACTAAACTGGGCAAAACTGGGCTAAATTGGACCAAATCAGGGCTGCACTGGGTTAAATTGGGCTGCAGTGGACTAAACTGGGCTAAAATTGGCTTAAATGGGCAGCACTGGGCTAAATGAGGATGTACTGGGCTCACTGGTCTAAATGGGGATCCACAGGGCTGCACTGGGCTCAAGTGGGCTCAGTGGGACCTGTTATACTGGCCTGAATTGGGCTGCACCGGGCTAAACTGGGATTTCTTCTCTCTGTTACAATGGGCTCTATTGGGCTAAACTGGGCTAAACCTGGCTAATTGGGGCTGGGCTGGGCTGCACTGGGAAAAGAGGGCTGCAGTGGGCTAAACTGGGCTGCACTGGGTAAAACAGGGCTCACCTGGGCTCAACTGGACCTGTTATACTGGGCTGCAGTGGGCTGCACCAGGCTAAACTGAGCTTACTTGGCTCTGTTATAAGGGACTTTACTTGGTTACACTGGAATAAGCAAGACTAATCAGGGCTGTACTGGGCCAAATTGGGCTGAGGTGGGCTCTGCTGGGCTAAACTGGGCTCTGCTCAGCTGAAAATGGGCAGCACTGAGTTTTACTGGGCTAAACATAGCTCCACTGGGCCATACTGGGCTCAACTGGACCTGTTATACTGGGCTGCATCAGGCTATATTGGGCTTGCTTTGCTCTGTTATAATGGGCTCTACTGGGTTGCACTGGGCTAAACTGGGCTGCAGCGGGCTAAACTGGGACAAATTGAGCTCTGCTGGGCTGCACTGGGCTTAACTGGATATGTTATTCTGGGCTGCATTGGGCTACATTGGGCTTACTTGGCTCTGTTATAATGGGCTCTACTGGGCTGTACTGGGCTAAATTGGGCAAAATCAAGGGTGTGCTTTGCTGCACTGGGTTAAATTGGGCTTCAGTGGACTAAACCGGGCAAAACTGAACACAACCAGGCAGCACTGGGCTAAATGTGGCTCCACTGGGCTAAACTGGGCTGCACTGGGTTCAATTCAACCTGTTCTACTGGGCTGTAGTGGGCTGCAATGGGCTAAATTGGGCTTACTTGGTTCTGTTATAATGGGCTCTACTGGACTAAACTAGGGCTAATCAGGGCTGGGCTGGGCTGCACTGGGAAAAGAGGGCTGTAGTAGGCTATACTGAGCTAAATTGGGCTCTGTTAGGCTAAACTGGGCTGCACTGGGTGAAACAGGGCTCTGCTGGGCTCAGCTGGATTTGTTATACTGGGCTGGCTGCACTGGGCTACACCAGGCCAAACTGGGCTTACTTGGTTCTGTTATTATGGGCTCTACTGGGCTGCACCAGGCTAAACTAGGCTAATTGGGGCTACGCTGGGCTGCACTGGGCCAAATTGGGCTGTAGTGGACTAAACTGGACTCCACTAGGCTCAGTGGGACCTGTCATACTGGGCTAAATTGGGCTTAATTGGCTTTGTTATAATGTGCTCTACTGGCCTAAACTAGGCAAAATGGGGCTAAACTAGGCAAAATGGGGCTGGGCTGGGCTGCACTGGGCTCATTGGGACCTGTTATACTGGGCTGTATTAGGCTGCACCGAGCTAAATTGGGCTTACTTTGTTCTGTTATTATGGGCTCTACTGGGCTAAATTGGGTGAAATGGGGCTAAACTAGGCTGATTGGGGCTGTGCTGGGCTGTACTGGGACAAATTGGGCTGCAG